ATGCACTGTAGAACCTTTAGTGGAATCAAAAGTTTCCATGGATGCTAAATGTTCCTCATACAAGCATGGATGCTTGTAGATCTTTTTATTATCCTTTTAGTGCAAAAAGGATAATTAAGTCATTGAGCCAATCAATAAAAGCTGAAATATTTGTAGTTTTATGAGCACAAATAAAATAAACTGCTGACCCTTTTCTCCCAGCCAGGTTTTTTGTACACTCTCTGACGCCAGTCCCATACAATAACATTAAACAAACAGAGCGCAAAACAGGAATACAGTGACAGCGATCTCGTTCATCACTCAACTGTGTTTGAATTTGCTTTTCATTTCTTGGGGGAAAAATTTTCATAAGTCACATTCGAATCTCCAGAGAAAATAAACGGGCCGTGTGAGTCACTGCCTCCTTCATGCATGTATGTTAGCGGTGCGAGCCGTTTTCTGTGAACTAACATCTCCCTTTCTCCTGTCCTGCTTTCTTATCTGCTGCCATCCACCCATTAAAGAAGCCCATTTCTTCTCCCTTAATCAGGAAAATAATAATAAATAATGACATACTAAGTTAAAATTCTGTAAAAAAAAAAAAAATTGGATTTAAAAGTAAAAAATATTTTCAAATAGCCCCTATTTTGCATTTTAAAAGGTCATATTTTGGTTTTGGGGTCTTCAACAATAGGCTTATATGCGTTTAAGATCAAAAACACTTGTATTGTCTTATAACAAGCATTTTATAATAAGCATTTTAAAAGTAAATTTGCTCCTGGGTCCAATTTACTTAAAATAAAGTAATATTCAGGCCCACACAAAATCTGCGCACGCAGAATTCCGCAGAATTCCACTTAAAATTGTAAAAACCAATAAGTGAACTTAATTTCTTCATGTTTGTGTGGAACCCAGCATTTTTGTTAAAATAATTAGCTACGCTAATTATTCTCTTTATTCTCTATTTTCACCTGGGGATACTCATCCCGAGGTCCTCAGATTATGCGGAGTCACTGATTGGATCCAAGACCAGCGACGAGATGATCCCAAGGATTCCATATCCGGGACCAGGCCATATCCTGAGCTGCTGCTGCGCTGATGGTCGTGGGGAGTGGAGAACATGAGTCTGATTCCAGCGACGCTCCAGGGACAGACGAGTCTTCGCTGAGGCCATCTTCCAGCCTCAACCACGGCGAATGAAGCTCTGCACAAGACTTTTGGCCAGCGGAGAAATTAAAATGGTCGTGCCCAACTGAGTCTGGTTCTCTCAAGGTTTTTTTTCTCTCTCCGCTGTCGCCATTGCCTCGCATGGTTCAGGATTGGTAGAGCTATGCATCAATGAATTTGCTCTTCAGTGTTTGAACTCTCAGTAATGATTAAATCACACTGAACTGAGCTAAACTGAACTGAACTGAACTTAAACACTAAAAACTGAACTACTCTGTTCGAGTTACTATGACCATTTATGTGAAGCTGCTTTGACACCATCTACATTGTAAAAGCGCTATACAAATAAAGCTGAATTGAATTGAATTGCACAGTGTAAAACTCAGGTAAAGCCTAGAAATAAAAACGAAACATTAAGCAGAAGTAGAGTTGATGGAGAACAGCTAAAGATCACTCATGGCTAAGTGACATTATATTTACAGAATGCTACATCGCCTTTTGGAAATCTGCATTAGGCTGGCACTGCTACCACTCACAGATGTATGAGCTTCAATACATCACGTCTGTAAAGTACACTTGTTTAACCGCCTGAAAAGCAACAGTCTGGTCGGTCGGTGTATTGACTGATATATAGCATGTTTCTGCATGCAGACAGATGGTGTGTGCAAGCCTTGCCCTCACACTTCTACAGCACTGCCTTAAATGGGAATCACATAGAAACAAGCCATGTTTTCTGTGTGGTTCTGATTAATACCAGATTGGACTGCGCTGGCCTTCGTCCAGTTCCCACCCAGGGACAAGCCGATTTCTTTTTCCTCCACACATTAGAGCATGCCATGATCTGTTCCCCTATTTTAGACACATCTTTCTTATTTTATAAATGCCTTTTCCTTGAGTCTTGACTCGGTGCCAGTTGGAGCAGCAGGCCAAATAGTTGAGATGGGAGTTGAGCACTGTACGCAAAGCGCTTTTTCGCTGCAATAAACTTAGCTCGGTTGCAGGGCGAACTTTATGGGGGAGTTCACCAAACGAGAATGGTGTTAGTTTGTAAAAATGACGTTAGTGTTATACACAAAATCAGCATGATGAAAGGTGCAAGCATAAAAATTGAAGTCTGAAAACATCATTTTGTATGTGTGCGTGCAAGAAAATACACATGAACAGAGATATGGAAATAAAAATTGTTTTATACTATGATCAGCATTGGGTGTAATCAGCTGCAAAGTAACTAGTTACTGTAATTAAAATGTGTTTTGCAGAAAAAATTAGATTTCTTTTAACTTTTAGGCAATTTTTTACAGTTAGGCTACTTATGTTACCTAAAATACTGTAAGTAAATAAATTGCTTTTTTGTTAAACAATCTAATATAAAAATCACTATTTCGATCATATCTCTACTGAAAAAAACAGCTTAAACCAGCCTAGGCTGGTTGGCTGGTTTTAGAGAGGTTTTGGCCATTTCCAGCCTGGTCTTAGCTGGTCAGGCTGGGAGATGACCAGCTAAAACCAGCTTGACCAGCCAAGCCAAGATGGGAGTCCAGCCAAAACCAGCTATATCCAGCTTAAACCAGGCTGGTCAAGCTGGTTTTAGCTGGACTTGGCTGGTCATTTTCCAGCCTGACCAGCTAAGACCAGCCTGGAAATGAACAAAATCCCTTTAAAACCAGGCTGGTCGACCAGCTATAACCAGCAAACCAGCCTAGGCTGGTTTAAGCTGGGTTTTTCAGCAGTGTAGTTCACACTACATGACTTTTAACATTTGCAGATTGTGGTGTCATTCAGAAAACGTGACTTGCTTTTGTGTCTTAAAATCACTGTGGTGTTTACAACACACGACACTACGCTAAAAATATTCACAAGAGGGGGATCCACTAGCCAGTTGCTAACTGCCACCAACCAGCCACTGGTAAAACACCTGACCCACCAGCTAGTTAACTAGCTAATCCATATGAATTTGTATGATCTTATTCATATAGTTTTGTACAATTTGCTCATCCCCAATGACGGTTGAGTTAAGGGGTGGAGTTGGGTGCCACACCTCATTTTAAAAATCATACAATTTTGTACGACTGATCTCTACTAAAATGACAAAACGTAAAATAGTTGTTATCTTGTGAGATCAGGCTGGAGGATCAACACAGGAGCGTGTAAAAGAGATGTTTACCTGCAAAAGACATTGTTCAGTCTGAAATGAGTGAGTGAGTTGGAGGAGAGTGGGAGGATGTTTTCTGTGTGATGAATGAATATAGCCTGCATACCCATTCATTTCCTATGGCGGTCACTTTTGACTGGGAACACCACAAGTGTATAACAAGGTTGATTAAAACACTCAAAATTCAACGAAAGAGACGATCATCATGTTTATATGTTCAAGTGCATAGTGTGGAGGATATCATAAGGCCTTGAGGCAATCAGTAGTAAAACACAATATTTATGAGGGATTTAAGTTGTAAATCGGTCAGATTTGACCCAAACACGACAGAAAGGTTAAACTGCTTCCATAAAATGCTGTGAAAACTCTTCAAGAGCAGAATAAGATAGAAACATTTAGAACTTAATTTGATTGAGAAAGTAATCAAGATACAATAATATAAACAAGATTATACGAATAATGTTCTATTTGAAAATGTGTTGATTAGTTATTATTGACATGTCACTAAGAAACAGCTATGGGACTTTGAATACTTCTATGAACAAATGGTTGAGATCTGATGTTATTAAAAATCATGGAAAATGAATAAGGCTTAGTATAAAAGTTCAAACAAACATACTTTTATTTCATTAAAATGGCCTGTAAACAGTACAAGTGTAACACCATACCATTGGTGACATATTTAAAAAAAAAAAAAAAAATGGACTGATATAAAGCACACATGAAACAAGTTTTGAGAAAACAAAATTTTGATTTAACTATATTCATTTGGGGCTGCACGATGGCGCAGTGGGTACCACGATCGTCTCAGAGCAAGAAGGTCACTGGTTCGAGCCTTGACTGGGTCAGTTGGCATTTCTGTGTGGAGTTTGCATGTTCTCCCTGTGTTCGTGTGGGTTTTCTCCGGGTGCTCCGGTTTTCCCCCAGTCCAAAGACATGCGCTATAGGTGAATTGGGTAAGCTAAAATTGTCCGGTGTGTGAATGAGTGCGTATGGATGAGTGGTAGGGCATTCGCTGCTTAAAACATACGCTGGATAAGTTGGTGGTTCATTCCACTGTGTCGACCCCAAATTATTAAAGGGACTAAGTTGAAAAGAAAATGAATGAATGAAGTACATCAATTCTATCTGAAAGAACAAATGAAAGAACACTCCATAGATATTGTCCTCAGTTAAGAAAGACTTGTAAAAATTGGTCTCTGCCTCTTGTATTTTAAAGAAATAAATACGTAAAGCCATTAAATCAGAAATAAAACAATATTCAGGCATCGGAGTTGACTCTACAAAAGTCTTATTTCAGATTTATGGACATGAGTAGGCCCACACGGAATCTGTGCGCGCAGAATTCCGCAGATTTTTAGCCCATAATTAATTCTGTTTATTTACTTGAGTAAACGAGTAAATCTGAATTTATTCAGTAATTTATTCCTTTTTATTTCATATATTAAGGTTTTAGTTATGATACTCCGCTGGATACTCCAAAAATAATTCTGCAGAAATCCGCAGATTTTTACCGAAATTCTCCGCAGAAATAGCAAAAAACGTCCGCAGATTCTGTCTGGCCCTGGACATGAGTTACTTATTCATGTCATTTCAAACCAGCACGACTGACTTTTTTTTTTTTTTTTACATTTAACAATTTAACAGTCCACACAAATGGTTTATCTTTTAAAAAAGAAAGTCACACAAGTTCAGAACCACC